CCAAAACTTGCATAACTTCCTCTAGGAGACTCAGAATCATGAACCATAAAATGCTCCAGAAACTAGACTTCCGTATCTTTCCAATGATATATGGCTCATCATCTGGTTCATCTTGAGCAAGTACAGTCCAATTCGTGAAGTTGATTGATCTGCAGACACCGTTTCTAACTTGTCTCCAAAATGCATTTAATGAGTCTCAAGCTTATTACACTGAAACAAACACAAAATTTATTAAAAGCACAAGTTTAACTCAAAAACATAATCAAATCATAAGTTAGAAGGGTACAAAATGATATATAAATATGCACCGATCACGGGGTTTGGGGTTGAGTATAGGGTGAGGATTGGAGTTTGGGTTGGATTTGGGGTATAACAATTTTAGGGGAGATTATGCCAATGTTTTGTTATTTTTTTTGTTATTTGACCATATTTGTTTTTTTGTAGGGAATCGTCGACACTTTGACGGCTAAAGTTGAGGATCCGGACACTATCGAAACATATCATCCGCCACTACCACCACAATAGGCTTGTATTAGGATTTTATTATTGTACTTTGTTAATTTATGTGTACATTTTGAATATTATATATATTGGATAATTTGACCACTATTTTTCATATGTAATATTATTTTGAATATGTCAATTTAAATTAAAGTAATTTTAAAAAATAAAATCATACAATTAAATTAAATTAAAAAAGAAAAAATTTGAAAAAATTAATATAATTAAATTGATATAAGAGAAATAATAAAACAAAAAGTCAAAAACTTTGCGCAACAAAATATTTTGTCGCGCAAACTATTAAATTAGTTTATTTTAATTAAAAAAATTTAAAACAGAAAAATTAAAATTTTTTGAATATTTCATTGCGCAAATATTTGTGCGATGTTAGTATTGGTCGCGCAAAGTAGCTTTGCGTGACGTTAAGGTTCGTCGCGCAAAGATACTTGTGAGACGTTAAAGTTCGTTGAGCAAAGCTACTTTGCGCGACGTTAGGATTCGTTGCGCAAAGTAGCTCTGCGCGACGAATATTATTTTTCGTCGCACAAACCCTTTCGTCACGAGCTTTGCGCAACGGATCTTGCGTGACCAAAATTTTGTCGCGCAAGTTTTGCACGATGAAATTGTACTTTGTGCAACAAACTTATTTCGTTGCGCAAAGTGTTTTTTGTAGTAGTGGTTCAAGTTATAAAAGAGGAGATGAAAGCTCTTGAGAAAAATCAGACTTGGACACTGGAGACTATACCACGAGGAAAAAAGACTGTCGGATGTAGATGGGTGTTTACTATAAAACATAATATTGATGGATCTATCAAGCGATACAAGGCAAAACTTGTGGCAAAAGGGTACACGCAGACCTATGGTATAGACTATGAAGAAACCTTTGTACCAATTACAAAGTTGAACACTATCATAGTCTTATTGCCCCTTGCAACTAATTTGGATTGGTCACTACACCAGTTTGATGTAAATAATGCTTTTCTGCATGGCGAACTCACGGAGGAGATATACATGGACATTCCACTTGGATATAATACTACTCAGACTGGAACAATATGTAGGTTACGAAAAAGCATTGTATGGATTCAAACAGTCACCACATGCATGGTTTGGACGGTTCACCATGGCAATAAAGAACAATAGTTTCAAGCAGAGCAACTCATATCATACTTTGTTCTTGAAACATCAGAAAGGAAAGGTAACAACATTAATCATCTATGTTAATGATATGATTATTACTTAGAATGATAAACAGGAAATATCACAGCTACAAAACTATTTAGCTACTGAGTTTGAGATGAAGGATCTAGGTGGACTCAAGTATTTCTTGGGGATTGAGGTGGCTCGATGGTAGCAAGGCATATTTCTCTCTCAAAGTAAATACGTCTTGGACTTGTTGACCGACACATGAATGCTAGATTGCAAACTTGCGGACACTCTTATTGTTCAGAATCATCATCTTGGAGAATATTCGGATCAAGTTCCAACTAACAAAGAAAGATACCAAAGGTTAGTGGGAAGGTTGATCTATTTGTCACATACTCTACCAGACATTGCTTATGTGGTGAGCGTTGTTAGTCAATTTATGCACTCTCCAAGTGAAGCAATGTAGTTCTTTGGATACTTAGATATTTGAAGTCTGCAACTGGAAAAGGACTTGTGTTCTCAAAGCATCCCATCTGAATATTGATGGTTATTCAAATGCAGATTGAGCAGGTAATGTAATATATAGAAAATCCACATCAGGCACGAAATAGAATGTAGTAGCTTTATCTAGTGCAAAAGCTGAGTTTAGAGGCATGACTAAAGGGATTTGTGAGCTCATTTGGTTAAGAAAGTTGTTTACTGAACTTGGGTATAAACCTACATCCACAATGAATCTCTTTTGTGACAACAAGGCTATTATAGTTATTGCACATAATCCAGTTCAACATTATCACTAAACATGTTGAGGTGGATTGACACCATCAAACAGAAGCTTGAGGCTAAAGTGTTTCAGTTTCCTTTTGTGAAATCCGAGGATCAATTGGTGGATATTTTGACAAAGGCGATTTTCAGTAGAGCATTCCACAATTCATTGGATGGCACTGAATCGACACGGGCAAAATGACACTGAATACTTCAAATCATGTCATGGGCAACCATGATAGGATAACTTTTGCACCCTTATCCCATAAACAGTCCAACATCATGTCATGGGCAACCGCTTCAACACAGATAGGAGGAACACCATAAAACGGGCTTGTTTCTTTCAGACCTTCAGCATCCTGCTCCACAAACTTCTTGTCAATGAACAGACAACATTTTTTTTTTCTTTAAATGAATCAACGGACAACAATTTGCAAATAAGGATCTTTTTTTTCTTTTTCTTTTTTTGCCAGCAAATAAGGATAAGATAATTCGCATAGAATGTTCCATACTTATGTAGCATCCTCGTATAGAAAGAACAAAGGTGGAAGCAAGAATTAGCAAGGCAAAGAAGCAGAAATTAGATAATGGCATGTTCCATCAACAACTTTTGAGGATCGTATGGCTGCTGATATCCAGTTGGACTTGTATGATGAGGCAAAAGGAGAGTTTGGAGGTCGTCTTGCTGTGAATTCAAGGAAACTACGAACTCCAGGTTATGATCTTTACTTTTTCATTTTCATTCAAGTATAATGAACACTTGAAATAAATGTTAAACTTAATTAGATGGATTTGTTTTGTTTTTTTTAGCAAATTGGTGGAAGCGTTTTGGAAGGGACACACCTGAGTTGACGAAGTTTGCTATTCGTGTCCTTAGCCTTACTTGTAGTGCATCTGGGTGTGAGAGGAATTGGAGCACATTTGAACAGGTAAAGTTCTTCTATTGTTCAAATTTTGATGCTTCTAAATCTAATTTTATATGTTTATATTCATTTTAGATTCATACAAAGAAAAGAAATAGACTTGAACATCAAAAGTTCAATGCTCTAGTATATGTGAAGTATAATACGGCGCTAAGAGAGAGAAGTATTAGAAGGAGGTCAAAGATTGATCCAATATTGGTGAATGAAATTGAGTCTGATGATGAATGGATAACTGAGGTTGAAGAACCAATTCTACCAATTGATCTTACTTGGCTTAATTCTCAAGAATTATATGATGTTGATGTCATCAGAAATATGCCCACTGAACATTATGAAACTGATCTACATACTCGAGTGCCTATTTCTGTGGAGCCTATTGTTGATCCTAGGACTCAAGAGCGAGAGAATATTCATGTTATGACTCAAGAACCTATTATCCATTCTAGAACTCAAGATCCTATTATTGATGATGATCTTATTCTTGACGATGATGTTCTTCTTTCCTCGTTAGCTTCAAAAAAAAGAAAAGATGGTGAAGCCTCAAGTAAGTATGGAAAGTAAATCATGGAGTGTTTAATTCATTATAACTAAATTTTATAATTTTAATTCATTGTTCATATGTACAGGTAAGAGGAAAGTCAAAAGCAAGTCCATAAGAGCGATGCTTATGGATGAAGATGATGAGATAGATAAAGATCCTTCAACATTTGATAGTGGGAAATATCCTTTTCATATTGATACAGTTGATCAATATGATAGTGATGCTAGTTTGAATGATATTAGTGTTGAGGAGTGGGATGAGTGAATTATGTTTTTGTTTTGATGTTGAACAAATATTTTATGTTTTGGGATTGATTATTATGCTTTGAATGACAATTAGTACTTATATTTAATTATATTTAAAAGATTGTTATGGTTCAATAAGAATTAGTTGTACAATTTAATTGTATTGTATTATTAATAAATTTTCCTTATTAAAATAAATTATTGTTCAAAAGGCTTACACCTCCCATAGCGCTACTAAAAGAGCATCGCCTTTGAAAACATTATTGATTCAAACACTTGGGGCCATCTCGTATGCAAGTCATCTTCCCAGACGATACCTGTAATATCAGAACAAATTTTCACACATCAGAAGTGAAAACCAAGCTGGCACACCATTGTTAGCATGAACTGATACTCTCACAGCTACTTTACAACCTTGGTGGCCAAAACGACGCTCCTTGCTCCTACCCTGACCCTGAGTCTGGGCTCGCTGAACCACTGGATACATTTCTATAGAGTCGAAGAAATTGGTGTCGGACAGGAAAGCTTGGTCGAGGTGGCCAAACAACTCCGGAAACGTGTTTTGCTTGCCGAAAGTCATCGTCCTTGCGACGAATGAATTTATATTTGAGGATGAGAGGGAGGGCCTATCAAAATCATAAGTAAAATTTATAAATCCAGCTGAAATCCATTACATTAAAATCCTCTAAATACAATCTATTAAAATCTCAATTGAATACACCCCTATGCTTTACTTTGCAAGATATATAATGCTGAGGTTTTCGTAAAAGAGTGCTTATAATACAAGAAAAACCATGCACTCAATATAAACTTCTATCTCTAAATTTGGCTAATCATTAGTCTCTCGATTGTGCTAAGCTGCTTCTTCTTCTTCTTCTTCTTCTTCTCACTTCTTGGAATGGAAAAGAGACGGTAGCTAGAGAGATCATCGTTTGATCCGTATATAAGTCAACTGCTGCATAATTGAATAACATGATTAGCTAATATGGCCAGAACTAAAGAAGTCAAGCTTATATTTTGAACGAAAATCTCTCTCTCTCTCTCTCTCTCTCTCTCTCTCTCTCTCTCTCTCTCTCTCTCTCTCTCTCTCTCTCTCTCTCTCTCTCTCTCTCTCTCTCTCTCTCTCTCTCTCTCTCTCTCTCTCTCTCTCTCTCTCTCTCTCTCTCTCTCTCTCTCTCTCTCTCTCTCTCTCTCTCTCTCTCTCTCTCTCTCTCTCTCTCTCTCTCTCTCTCTCTCTCTCTCTCTCTCTCTCTCTCTCTCTCTCTCTCTCTCTCTCTCTCTCTCTCTCTCTCTCTCTCTCTCTCTCTCTCTCTCTCTCTCTCTCTCTCTCTCTCTCTCTCTCTCTCTCTCTCTCTCTCTCTCTCTCTCTCTCTCTCTCTCTCTCTCTCTCTCTCTCTCTCTCTCTCTCTCTCTCTCTCTCTCTCTCTCTCTCTCTCTCTCTCTCTCTCTCTCTCTCTCTCTCTCTCTCTCTCTCTCTCTCTCTCTCTCTCTCTCTCTCTCTCTCTCTCTCTCTCTCTCTCTCTCTCTCTCTCTCTCTCATTATTATTATTGTTATTATTTTAAACGACAAGCATTCCTTTCGGAAGGGACTGATAGTCTTATGGTTTCATAGAGTATGTCTATGAACTACGAATGGTTTGATCCCTCAAAAGGGGTACGTAGTGTCACGGCCCGCATGTTCAAGACCCAGCCCGTTGGATTGATCACGCTAGACCTCTTAGCCCACATGTCCAGATTCAATGTACAGTAGTAAGTAGATGTCGGTTAGTGAGAGTGGTAGGTAGAGTCTCGGTTGGTGACATTGTATCTTAACCATCTATTGTGGTGGTAGGTGGGATAGGAACAGTATATAAGGAGGATGTCTCATTGTATATCCTCACCTCACAACTTGTAAAGCATTTGAGTAGCAATACAAGCATATATTCTCCCAAACTCTCTTGAGCATTCTTGAGTGTTCTTATCGTTCTTACTCTTGCGATAATGTTCTTGCTTGATTCGATCTTAGATTGTGGGAAGGGAGGCTGACTTAGCTTGTTCGAGAGGCGATCAAGTCTAAGGCCGCACGGAAGGAAGACTCCGAAAAAGTCATCCCGTGACAGTAGGCAACCTAAAGTTACCAGGTGCAGCCACGAGACCAAGTGTTTGAAAAGTGGTTCAGTTAAGTCATTTTGAAACCTATGAATGTATTCGTGTTGTATCTTTGAATCTGTTGCTGCTGGCAGAACATTTTATTTGTTTACGAGAGGCCTGAGGCCGTTTAATTGTAGTTGGTTTGTCTGGATGAAAGTTGAATACATGTTGGCAGTTGTGATATACATATATATGCTTATTTGACATGTAAATTTTTGGGAAATGGGCAATTTACAGGGGAGACTCTGCCGGATTTCCGGCAGAAGTCAAACTTGAAATAAGTTCGATTTTAGTTAGAAGGGCAGTTTGGTCATTTGTGCCCGGCACCCACTAGTTGTCGAACACACAGAGGGTTCAGCTTGGATTCTAAAGTGGAATTTTCCCAATATTTTTTGGATTTTTCCTGCAATTTTGACGACTTTTGCAAAAAAAGAAAGAATAAAGTATTCAAGAAATGCCAAGTGTCGATGTTGGAGTGGGGAGTTGCAAACTTCAGTGACGTGCGACACATTCCCATGCCACCACACACCACCTAACCCAATTTTTTATTCATTTTCACTTAAATATTCATTTAAAAATCGAATTTAAGGGTTTAGGGGTTGGGCGCCTAGGGTTTAGAGTGTGGGGTTTACTGTGGAGGGTTTAGGGTATAAAAATGTAAAAAAAAAGTCCCCACAGTAATGCTCTTCTTTCCTGCTCATGGATTAGGGTTAAAAATTAAAAAATTCCTAGAAAAATCGAATTTCCCGCTCACGGATTGTTAGGACCAAAAAATGCCCTAAAATCGCAATTCAAACTTCAAACTCCATATCTAATTAGACCAAAAAATAAAATACAATTCCTTTTCAGAATTGAAGGAAAATAATTTTGGGGTTTTTAGCAAATATTTGGAATGGTTGAATTCTTCTGTCTTTTTCATTTTCACGTTTAGGCAAAGCGATGTCGATTTCTTTAAAAAAAACATTAAAGCAAGGAGTTGTCAGCATTGCAATGCTAAGATGATGATGCTAATTTCCAAATCCAAAAGGAATCACTGCTACGTGCCTATCCTTGCATGGGGTTGCTTGGGAAGTAGGGTACTGCTTCGACTCATTACAAGTCGTTCAAAATAAGTCTGCATCAAGTCTTTTAGTTCCTATTATCTAGATATACAATCGAATTCCAACGCCATTAATGTTGAAGTGAGTCTCCTAATTAATCAAGGAGATTTATTTCCTTGATTAATTAAGGGATTTACTTTCCTATTTTATATAGTTGTCAAATCATTGTATAATTAGGAGATACTTTCCTAATTCTTTACTGGATCTAATTCCTTGTAAAGCACTCTTGTAAACTCTTTATATATACCTCCTTATAGAGAAGAATAAATCATCTGAACATATTCAAACTCATATTCATATTTTAGCATGGTATCAGAGCAATTGATCCTCGGTTGTCTCTAAATTCTCATATCAAAATTTCTACTCCCCTCCTCTTCAAGGGGGGAGGGGGAGTGAAAAAGGATATGTTTCTCTTTATCATGGAGATTTTGCCTCTTTCTTGACTCCGACATACCCTTCTCTTCAGGGGGAGAAGAGGATTGAAGAGAAGTTTATGTGTCCTTAAGCCGTGTTCACAGGGTTTCTGTGTCCTTAAGCCGTGTTCTTAGCCGTGTTCACAGGGTTTCTGTGTTCTTTAAACTCCTCATATCAAATTTCTCATATTTTTTTCCCAAATCCAAATCTCTCAAATCTAAATCCTCATATCAAATTTTCTTGAACCACAAACTCTGAATCAAATTCCTCATCTCGTATTCCTCATATTTCCATATCTATATCCTCGTATCGACACAAACATTTTTTGTGTGGAAACTATAAGTCATTACTTTTTAGATATTCATTTGTAAAATATAGTTACTAATTCGATTCTTTGATTTAGAAAAGTTCCTCATGAATTTACATCACAATCAACGTGGAAACACTAAGTGGATAGACTGCTAGGACGACCCTTGGTTTTAAAGGAAGGCGTAGACTTGATTCTCACTCACATCACATACATATATATGGTGTGGAATGAAGCCTCTCTGACTGACCGACTATTTTGCAGATTGATCTCTTTCAGACCAGCTGTTAGCTGTACACAAAGAGGAAATTTTTTCATTAGATTTCAATTTTTTTTTCTTGTAAGCAAATGAATTTCATTAAATTCCATTCTTTGATTTTCCTGAATTATTATAATTGAAAAAAAAAACTAGATGTATAATCACCTGTCTCTTTATTAACAAAATAAAATAATGAACTTGTGTCTGTGAGAAAAGGAATTTAATTAAAGAGGAAAGGTTATCATATATATAGTTATAATTTAATTTGAAAGCTATTGTTTTTTTTTTATTTTTGGAATTTGAAAACTATTGTCATTGTCCAAGTCTAAGTCTAACATTGAAGCAGGCGACTCTACCCCATATGAAATACGCGACCCCTTCTTTTATGAACCCACCTTTTTGAATTTTCATGGGGCATTGGGTACAAATTCATTATAATTATGAGAATGTGAAGATAAAAAGTCTCACATTAGAAAGTTAGAAAACCCTAAAAAGACTTAGAAGGAGTTGAGCTACTCCACACAGGGGCGAATCCACAGAGGAGCAAGGGTGGTCAATTGACCCCTGCAACCTCTGAAATCCTCCATTAGAGCAGCCAAACTTGACCCTCGCAAAGTGTTCGACGAAATGCCCCAAAGGGGCAACCTGTGTGCAGCTGGGGGGGCTATAAGTGCTGGGCTTTTGAGGCTGAGAGATGGAGAGGAGGGATGAGAAGGAAGAAGAAGAAGAGTGTCTCATTTGGTGGTGGTGGTGGTAAGCAGCAGCTGCTGCTTCTGGCTGGAGGTCATGACTCATGAGGGTAAACTGATATAAAAAAAAAAGAAAAAGGAAACAGACATACATGAGTATCAACAAAAGAAGGAAAGAGAAGGTCAAATAATTTTTTTAAAAATAGCATAATTAAATAGGTAGGTCCAAATAATTATAGCCCAATTCGTGTAGGGCCAGTTACCTTCTGTCAAAATAATTATAGCCCAATTCGTGTAGCGCTAGTTTGTATGTTTTTTGGGTTCTTTTTTTTTGGTTGGAAAATTAGCGATAAGCTTTTTTGGATTATTTGGTTGATGATTATCAGCGGCATCTATCGCAAGTGTGGGGCATCGCCTCATTGCGAAATCTCATGATGTGCAAGTACTGAGAGCTCAGTTGGTGATAGAGCGGAATTTGGTTGATAATTATCAGCGTGACATCAAAAAATTGAAAAGGGATAGGGCAAATACAACAGAGGAGAACCGACGCCAGCTTCAAATATCGTAGGAAGAGAATGAAAAGCTATCAAAGATAGTAGATTTTTATTCTAAAAAATGCAAAAGCAGCTAGAGCCCTTGGAGAACCCAAAGAAACGCAAGCGAGATCACGAGAGGAGTTCAAGAGAGAAGTGTGTGATCTTTGGAGGCTCAAGTGATGAGCCCCAAGAAGCGATCCGTGAAAACCCAAGAGAGGATATCGAGAGGGCCAAACTAAAGTCTCCTCCTGTGGAAAAATGTAGCTTTGATTTCTTTACTTTAGAAGTGAATGGTGTGGTTGATTTTTGTTGTTGTTGTTGTTATTATTTTTTTTAATGTGGATAATTGTAATGTGGTTTTTTCTATTAATTAATAATTATAATATTTTCATTTTATTTTATTTTTGTTCTATTTTGTATAGAATTTTTTTACTTTTTAGATGTTGACCCCTGCAAGGAAAATTCCTGGATCCACCACTGGGCACATGGGCACAGTGTGTCTCATAGGAATGCTGTTGATCGAATCGTAAGACTCACAAAAGCATGCGGTCAATCCTGATGTTCTACTTTTCATACGTTCTCTCAAAAATTAGCATGGATTATCGACTTGGGTGCTACAAATTTCATGACTCACTTACCAAGTTGGGCATTTGACGTATATGCACCAACTTGAGGAGGAGTGTTGAAGTGAGTCTCCTAATTAATCAAGGAGATTTATTTCCTTGATTAATTAAGAGATTTACTTTCCTATTTTATATAGTTGTCAAATCATTGTATAATTAGGAGATACTTTCCTAATTCTTTACTGGATCTAATTCCTTGTAAAGTACTCTTATAAACTCTTTATATATACCTCCTTATGGAGAAGAATAAATCATCTGAACATATTCAAACTCATATTCATATTTTAGCAATTAACAGGGTCAATTGGTCATCATCATTATCAGGGAAGCTGAGATCAAACCTCAAGCTTTGCAACAACAAAAACACCAAATTTCCTACACAGAAATCCAAAGCCTAAAAGCCATGCTTCCCATAATCTCCTCTCGTCGTCACCATACAAGGATCATCGCAGAGACAAAGATAAGAAAAGGATTAGTGGGACGACAACACTCACTAGTCCGAAGAATTGTCGTCCCAAGTTATATGTAATTATATATCAGGCAGTATCATAACTCTTCGAACTTAATGTTTTAGTTCTTGATTTTTAACTATTAATTCAATACATATTTCCTCCTTTCTCCTTTACATCAATCCATCTCTTCTCATATTCTCTACTTCCTTCATCTTCAGTTAAAATTCGAAACAAAATATTAAAAGAAAAAAAAATCTAACAAACGAACCCTCCAATGCTTAGATGGGTTTTTTTCTTAGGAAGAAACTACTGGCTTCTGTAATGAAATATTAACTAGTGCCCTTTTACCATTTGAAATAATAAAGTCGTAGGATCTTCATTTCCTGTGGTCTGTCTCACACTATTAGGCGTTTACAGGATGATATGTGAAATTCAAATTTAGTTCTCTCAATTTCCCTGCCAGAACAAATGAATTTTCCTCCTGCTAGTTACAAGGCACAAGTGCCAACTAAATCAACACGAGCAAAATGACACTGAATATTCCTATTTCTTCAAATCTTTTAGCCATGATAGGATAACTTTTGCACCCTTATCCCACAAACAGTCCAACATCATGTCATGGGCAACCACTTCAACACAGATCGGAGAGACACCATAAAACCGGCCTGTTTCTTTGAGACCTTCAGCATCCTGGTCAACAAATTTCTTGTTAATGAAAAGACAAGAATTAATTTTTTATTTTTTTTTTCTTTAAATGAATCAACAGACAACAATTTGAAAATAAGGATCATATAATTGAGCATAGAATTTTACAAACTTACGTAGCGTCCTTTTATAGAAAGAAAAAAGGTGGAAACAAGAATCAGCAAGGCAAAGAAGCGGAAATTAGAGAATGGCATGTTCCATCAGCAACATTAGAGAAAAGAACCGAGTCATTATAGAATACGGAGTTTACCACGATGAAATCGTCATTTGCACCCAAGACAAGGAGTTCAATAGCCGATTTTGGCACTGAAGGAACTGGAAGCGCTGCATTGAGCTTCCGCAGATCAAATAATGGCATTCTTGAACTTTTCTTCATTAGCTCTTGATAACTGAAAGAAAACAGAAAGAATTAAAGGTTTTCTTTGCAAATGGACAAATTTTGGGAATAAAAGATCTGTATTGTTGTGAAAAGACCACAAAAATACTCAAACCACACAAGTATACAAGCAATTAACAAATAATAAGAACAAACAAATTTACATGGGTCAGAAAACTTGCCTATGTCCATGAGTTCCACTATCGACCAACAATTACAAGGATATACAACAACTCACGATCTGGTGCCCCAATACACCCATGTACTATCAAGTTCTTCACTCCCTTTAGTGTCTTCTTCCTATCCTTGTACCCTATTGTTCTACCCTGTTTGACACAATCACCTAGTTTTGGTGTTGGCCCTTCTTTGTACAAACACCTTGCAGTTCTAGACCTCTTTTACTCAACCACCTTTTCTTGGTTTCAACTTATCTTTGACACAAATGCTGTCGTGGTGCATTTAACAGACCTAGAAAACGCTCACAATCATTTGCTCTATGTATGAGAACCCTAAATTGATTTGGAAGAAGGCCACCAAATCCCTAAATGGGACCAGGAATTTTAGATTTTAAAATTCATTCCATCTATTGTCCACTAAACCAGTACAGTTTTTCTTATGGTAGAACAATTTGATCAAACAGAAGTGTGCATGCCAAATATTAGCTCATCTACTCCTATCCACCATGCACCAAAATAACATGCAATCCAAAATAAAACCAAATGAAGATGATGCATGGTAATAACTAACTTTTGGAACTCAGAATACTCACGCAATCATATAAGTTTACAAAGTTTGTCTCTTAGTTATCTTCTACACCTAAAGTTTGCCTTCCATCACCTTTTACAATACCAGAAATCCTACACCACATACACATCACATCCAAAATTTTCCCCATATGTTGCAAACTAATACAAAAAATATTTGTTGATTTCAGATTTTTGTAACTATATGCTGTGAAGAAATATCCCACATATCTGCAAATACTTATTCTTAATTGGGAAATTTTTGTTGCAGTGAGGCTCAGTGTCTAGACACATCGTCTCTGGAAACTTCAAGCAGAATCTAATTTTAGCTGTGGTATCAGGAGATGTTGACTTAAAGTGCATTACTCAATTTTCTTTTGCAGACAGAGAGAGAGAGAGAGAGAGAGAGAGAGAGTGTGTGTGTGTGTGTGTGTGTGTGTGTGTGTGTGTGTGTGTGTGCGTGTGTGCGTGTCAATATGCTCAATAGTAACTTGAAATATATTGTTGAATGTCATCTGTCAGTTGAACAAATGTCTGACGAACTAGAAAAGAATTTCTGGGAAACAAACCGTAAAACTAGGTGATCCTCCATTGTTGCAGAAAAAAATGTCTCCTTACAAAGAGGAAGAGAAGTTTGAAATCCTTTCGCTGCCAAGCTACGTGTGACCTACTCAAAATTCCAACGAACAACATCATAAGAACTAACTTCTATATATACTGTAAAGCTTACATGAGGAAGCTAAAAATATTCCTGAAAAAGGGTATCTCATTTTCTATTAAGATTAGATTCATGCAATAATAATGTTTAACAGCCTTCCAAAGAATGTTAGGGATGATAGGTTGAACAGACTGAGTACAACTTACAAATTAAAAGACACAACTTAAGACATTTTAATTGATAAATGCAACCAAAATTAAAGGAAGATGGGCCAAAGTTTCTTGTAGCAACTTTCCATTATGAATGAGATTCTATATAAAAGAGTGAAACTAGAAACCTTAAAAGCAGCAATAGGTTTGGAAAAGAGATAGCGCCACACTAAGCCACTGGAGAAAAAAAAAATAGCAAATGTCAGTTTGAAACTAATTACAATCAAAAGACAGTATGTTAGTTACCTATTGCCCGAAGGAGGTACAGAGCAGACAAGTGCAGCCCCCGTAAGCTCAGGGAAAAAATCTTTCATGTCTACGATAAGCACAATCAACACAGAAATATATACATAAGAAAATTACTCTTGAGAAAAATAGTACTTGAGATGAAATATGATGCTTTTGAAGCTATGCCTGAGGCCAGGTCATGAAGGAAACTTGATCTTGCTTGAAGTTAAAGTTTGATATTTAATATCAAGAGCGTGCATCACAGTTTCAGACTCACATTAAAACTTATTATGACAGAACACAACATTATTTCTCTATGACAGTAAACAGACAACAAGAAAATAGAAACAGTAATTTGGAATAAACAAAACATAACAAGTTACATAGCTCATCCTGTAGGCCTACATCCACCCACATAGGGGGTACAGCAATTTCACTATAAAATCAAAAGGAGATACAAAGATAATCATGAATCTCTCCCAAACCCAAAATCAAAATACATGCAAATTTCTCACTCGCAACAAATTGAGCAAAAATAGAAGAAATCATAACAAACCTTTTTCATAAAAACAAAGAAGTATATTGTTGGGCTTGGGCCACACAGAAATAAAGAGAAAACTAATACGACTTGTAAGTTGGCTGGGCACAAGGAAAAGCAAAACCCAAAACATGTTACAGCCCTCATGGCTCTAGGCCATATTACTAATCTTTCAATTAATTATATCAAGCCACGTCAACTAAACTGCATTTAATACTTTTACAGAAACGAAGTTCGTACGAAAGTTTCAAGTAGTTATTCTTTCAATCAATATTTAGATCTAAACAATACAAGTTTCATTTAGGTTGCAAACAAACCCTGCGGCTTGCAAATTGCAAACATCCCTGCTAATACTTAAGGTTTGGGCTGTAGGTTAAGGTTGGGTGTTTAAATACTCATCCTTTTAACCTTTCAATGTTTATTCAGGGCTATTTCTCTCCTCTTGCACTAGATGTGGGTACGAGCCAAACCGCATAAAACTTATGACCCATTCCTCATCCATCTGAAGATTTTTGTCTACCCTTTCAAGTAAAAATTTAAAATGATAGAAGTAGAAGTTACCTAAAAATTGGTCAGGTTTAGCGTTTGCAATATAGTTCAGCCAAACCGCATAAAACTTATGACCCATTCCTCATCCATCTGAAGATTTTAGTCTACCCTTTCAAGTAAAAATTTAAAATGATAGAAGTAGAAGTTACCTAAAAATTGGTCAGGTTTAGCGTTTGCAATATAGTACTGAATGATGAGACCTCCAAAAGAGTGGCCAATCAACACTGGTGGAAACGTGAGTGTTTTGCAGATGAAATCAGCAACATCACTTGCATGTGTCTACTGCAGAATTTAGAGTTAACAGGAATAAGAACATTTTACCAGGTACAGAAACTAACAAATACAGAGCAGATGCTGGTGAAGTTAATTGCAAAAGAAGTTCTTTACTAGTGGGCAGCTACAATACCTGGAGAGTACCAGCAACAGAAGCACTGGGTACATCACTTTCACCCTGACCAATTGGAAGAGATACGAAAAATCAGAACACGCAGCTTCCAGATATATGCTAATGTGTCAATGGTGCGTTACAAAATAACACTTCCCTAAAAATAGCATTTTAACACTCATAAGTCATAACCATAATAATCCCGTACTTCCAGTTATCAGCCGATAGGCTAGTAGAAACAATTTTCATGAGTTAAATATCAAACTGCAAACTAATACAACAAGTTCGTCGTCTGATGGTCATAGTGAATATCCGATTGCATTTCGGAGTGAAGTACAATTTTTTTATGAGAGGAATAAAGAAGGGAAAAAGCAGAGAGTGGGAGAGAGAGATTACGCCTCATTTGTAGCTCAAATGAAACTATGAATAACATTAGTCTGCTGGAAACATATAGATTAGAACAACAGCTAAGTGCATCTCATACTTAAGTTTTCAAGTCGTTCAATATCTCAGCTCATATTCTACTGTAGAGTCAAGTGACTCATAATTCACCATTTGCACAAGAGCAGTAAATGCTGACCTTCTGCCCAAATTGTCACTTGCAATAAAATGAAATGAAATGAAATTTTCTCTCTTTATATTCTTAAATTATAATAACGCTATCTTCTTTACTAATTATGTGTTTGTGTGAGACAGAGAGAAGACAGAAGAAGTACTTCTCCAACATGGAAGAAAGGAGGCGAATTCTTTTCTTGCCCTGTTCCCATAAAGTACCTGCCAGCTCTAATGTCCAAAATATAATACCATAAGAAAATTGTTGATAAATTTCAACCCAGTTAACGAAGAATCCATGACATCAAATTCTTACCCTGCTCTCATCAAATAAGCTTCAAGAAGATATAGAGTCGACAACAAGATAGTGAGACACCAATATTGCCACATAAATATCGTAAACTCATTTCCACATTGGACAAGAAGAAGAAAAAAAAACACAATTAATCAACAGAACGAGCATAAAAATGGCACATTTTCAGATGAGAGCAAGAGAGAACCCACCTGGCCCAACAAGCTAATCGCATAACAATCATACCCAGAAGCTGAAAAGAAAGGCATCCAGTGCTCAGCCCAGCACCAAGCAGCATGGTAGCTTCCATGAACAAAAACAAGAGGCGGATTTTCACTTGTTCTCTCCTTTTTCTCATCAGATTCTTTTTCTGCAACTCCCTTCTGCACAATTACCTCCATGTTGAGGCCAGAGGGGAGCTGGTGGAAAAGACGAGACTGTTCCTGCTTGAGCTCGTAAGGGACTCGCATTCTCTGAGCTCCATGGAGGGCAGCTCGGGGCTTTACCATAACCCTCGAAGTAGAGAGGTTGGTTTGAAGTTGGGAGATGGTTTGAAGGGAGAGGAGAGCAGCCATTCATGTGAAATTGACCTCGCGCTCAATAGCCCCAACCTTCACCCTTTTCTTTTATTGGGCTAATTGCATTTACTAATTTGAGCTGCTCAACTTGATATAGGTGGTTCCAACCCAAAAAAACCAAAAAACTTGATATAGGTGGTGTACGTCAATAGGATCTAGTTTAGTGGAAAAAGATCTTTAACTTTCCACAACATCATAGTTGTGTGTGTGAGAAATCTCATTCCCCTCTAGTTTAAATTATCGCTTGTACTAAAAATAAAAATTATAGGTCATGTACTATTAAATGCGCCGAGGAGTTAAAAACCATCTACCTAGATGTTCAGTGAACCTAACTCCATTCAAGCCCCTTTTAGTGGGCTGAACTGGACTGATTAGGATTGATCTTGTAGTGTTGGACTAGACTAGCTTGGACTTCAAGTCCTATTGAGTTGTTTGGTATAGCACTAGACTGGATTAGACTTAAGTCTAGTCCATTGTTTGGTACAAGGCCACACTGGACAGCATTGGACTTCTTTTTTAAATAAAAAAATCCAAAATTGATTTACTGTTTAGTTTATTAAATTATTTAATTTCATAAAAAAATTAATTTAAAATGCATCAAATTACAGAACCAATATTTATATTTAAAAAAAATTTAGAACCTAGAAAATGAAAAAAAAAAACTCACAATTAATTGAAATAAGTCAAATATGTAGAAAAGATCAGTGAATGATCTTAAAAGAAGAGCGGATATCTTCAAGTTTATGTCAAATTGCAAGCACTTGATATCATCCTTGATCATAGGAACGTACAGAAACAATGCATCCAACAGAACAATAAACATGCACGATGCTACAAATATGTTCTTCCACTTTCTAAGGAAAGGGCCCCTGTTCCAAGTTTAGGTGCAAAACCCAAAAAATGAAAAAAAATAAAAATAGTGTTGGACTAGACTAGCTTGGACTTCAAGTCCTATTGAGTTGTTTGGTATAGCACTAGACTGGATTAGACTTAAGTCTAGTCCATTGTTTGGTACAAGGCCACACTGGACAGCATTGGACTTCTTTTTTAAATAAAAAAATCCAAAATTGATTTACTGTTTATTAAATTATTTAATTTCATAAAAAATTAATTAAAAATGCATCAAATTACAGAACCAATATTTATATTTAAAAAAAATTTAAAACCTAGAAAATGAAAAAAAAAAAACTCACAATTAATTGAAATAAGTCAAATATGTAGAAAAGATCAGTGAATGATCTTAAAAGAAGAGCGGATATCTTGAAGTTTATGTCAAATTGCAAGCACTTGATATCATCCTTGATCATAGGAACGTAGAGAAACAATGCATCCAACAGAACAGTAAACATGCATGATGCTACAAATATGTTCTTCCACTTTTTAAGGAAAGGGCCCCTGTTCCAAGTTTAGGTGCAAAACCCAAAAAATGAAAAAAAATAAAAATATGGTCCAAGATCTCCTTTCCCCTCCTACTCAAACCCACCCTTTCCTTCTATTTTTCTTGTTCCTATTTCCAAGAGAGAGAGTGAGAGAGATTGAAGTGAGAAGATTGCTTGAAATATGAGGGAGCATTAGAGAAGAAGAAAATCACAAAGACAAAGAGAGGAAGAGAGAGGAGAGAGGAAGAGAGAGGAGAGAGGAGAAGAGAGAGAAAAGAAGAGCCTGAGAAGAGGCGTGCTCGTCAAGAGAAGAGAGAAGAGGCGGGCTGGCTCTCTAGAAAAGACTCGGATTCTAAACCCACATCTAGGCTTGGGTTCAGGAGCCATAGCTATTTGGGATATGGATCCCATGCCCATATCCAGTCCGAGACACACTTGAGTTCACCAAACAATAGCTAGGACCCATATCCCTTTTAATTGAAATTATCCAATTCAGTCCATATCACCAAATAAGGCCTCAAGGTATTAGACCTAGATGGTTAAGATGCCGACAATATCGGAACATGGTTTGGACAAATAGTGGGGTCCTATTGGACCCGTTAATACAACAATTGGTGGTGGGCTCCTAGCAAGGCTAAAAAAATTCTTGTCGAAAGAGATGGAATTGAGGGTATCATGTCATCTTTAAAAGTGGAGTGTCAGTGGAAAAGGACTCGACTTGCAAATTAGTGGTCCCAAGTTCGAACCCCCATGGCACCGTGATGGAGTGTGTGTGAGAAACTTTCATGCCCTGTAGTTTAGACTATCACTTGTACTAACAAAAAGTGGAGTGTTAGTGAGTGCATGGTTTGGAAAAATAGTGAGCTCCTATTGGACGAGATGGAATTTCAAGGATCATGTCATCTTTGAAAACTGTCAGTGCATGGTTTTCAACTTATAGCTTTCACAACTCCATCTTGTCCCTTTTTTTAAGTAAAAGCAATAGTCTAAACTATAGGGTATGTGTTTCTCGCACACACGCACACAATGAAGATGCCATAGAAGTTCGAACCTAAAACTTCTAGTCTGCAAGTCTAAGTCATTTTCCACTCGACTAGACCCTGTTGGCCTCCATATTGTCATTTTAATTTGGATTTACTGTCTATCTTTCTTTTTCTTTTTCTTTTTTCCTTTTTTTTTGTCAAAGTTTGAAAGGCTACTCAGAGCTTTTTAAAACTCTTAGTTAATTAAATTTACTTTATATATATATACAAGCGATATTGGGGGAGGTGAGTATCAAACTTTGGATATGAAGTCTGAGAAAAAAATCCTTTTAACCACTTGCGTTACAAGTCCCTTTTTTAATTTATAGTTTTTTTACTGGCGCGGTGAGGGTGCATCACATTATTGACATACAAGGTAAGAAAAACTTTCATGAGTATTTAGCATAGACCCATCGAGGTTAAATGTCAAAGTACTATTACAATCCAAAAAACAAAAACATAATACCAGAAATATTAAACCCAAACCTGAGAAAGACTTTCACAACTATACAAAAGACTCAAGACAAAGAACATAATTGGTAAAAAAGTTTACAAAAACTATGTTTGTTTTCTTCATACATACACATGCATGTGTGCATGAAATGTTTGTCGAGCTACAATTTCTCACCGTATCTTTCTAAATTATGTTAAAATATGAAATTTAATATGAGAATATTTGTTTGTGGAAATTTTCAGTGTATTCCTCTCATTGTAGGAGGTCATATTTATAATACAACGGAGCCTTAGTGGCCAAGTAAATAATAAATTCATAGTAGGAAATCAAAAACTAAAGTAAATCAAATACAATTATAATGGGAATCTTTGGTATGTAAGGAAAGAAAGTCAATGGTCCACAATTCACGCTAGCACTCCCCCTCCCTTGGTGCATAGATATTGCTAATGCTCAACTATTTCAATCAATTGTGAAACGCTCTACTGGAAATTGCTTTTGTCAAAATATCCGCCAATTGATCCTCAGACTTCACGAAAAGAAACTGAATCACTCTAGGCTATCTCCAGTCATGGGTTCTATCCCAAATATAGACTTAAAATAATGCAAAATCCATCTACAGCCATAGGCTAAACAAAAATTTGGCCAAATTTGGAGGGCCGCATTTGGCCCTTTAGCCCTCCAACCGGGCCACATCTAGCCCAGCTTTGGCCTAGGCCAAATTTTTTATGGGCCCCATGCAGTGGCGGACCTGTGCAGGCGCAAGGAGGTGCACCTGCACCTCCGGTCGCCGGAAAAATCCATTACAGAAGCTAGAGTTGCACCTCTGCTTCAGACCATAGATGCGCGCAACCTTTTCGACGAAATGCTCAAACGAAATGGGAAGCCTGCGCTGCTGGATGTGTGCGCTGCGCACAGCGCGCGCGCTTGTTTTTTTTTTTAAAGAAGCCTGGCCAAAACGACGTCGTTTTGGACCAGGCTTTTTAAATTTTTTTTAAAAAGGCGCTGCTCTTTCTTTTTTGGACCAGGGTTTGTACAAAAAAGATGACCTGGGCTTTTTAAAAAACAGAAAGTAAAAAAGCTGGGCCATTTCGTGGCTTTTCAAAGGGGTTCTATAATTCCTAAGTTAATTGGGTTTAAATTGGGCTTCTATAATTCCTATTTTAATTGGGTTTTAATTGGGAGTCTCTTTATTCAATTGGGTTTTGGAAATTCCTTATTTAAATGGGATTGAGAATTCTCTTTATAAAAGACCAACTTAACATCACCCAAATTCATCAAACCCTTATTTTCTTTTAATTGTACAGTTATGGAACGGTACTTTAAGAGAAATAGTTTAAATCCTCCTTCAAATAATCCGGGTAGTTCAAATCCTCCTTCAAATAATCCGTCTAGTTCCAACCCTCCTTCAAATAATCCGCTTCAAATAATCCGGCTAGTTCAAATAATCCGCCTGGTTCACATCCTCCCTTGAATAATTCGGGTAGTCCAAAACGATCGGAGGTCATTGAGTTGGATGAAATATTGGTTAATCTTCCTGCAGACCCTGGACTTAGACCTCCAATGACTTATTATAATCCCAATTTTCGAGAACAAATCCGAAGAGCCTATCTACAAAGGGGTCCTTGTCAGCCTAAAAGCCAAAATGACATGC